CAGTGTAGTTTTGGTGTCTGTGCCGTACAGGATGCTCTTGCAGTAGTTCAGTCGTGAGGTGACAAAGGTCGTGGGTGAGTTGTTTTTGAGATGGAAGAAGGCAGTTTTTGTGTAACACACAAACCGTTCTAATAACACGACTTCCTTGGTGGAAGTACTAAATCAAATTTTAGGCTGCAGGAACCCATAAACCAAATTTAAACAATATACAGAGACACCGCCACAGTAGTCAGAACAAACTGTTAGTGAAAGCTTCCTTTTATAATAATGCCAAAGCTAAAGCTTCCTCACATAAATCTGATGTGATGTCCTCACATTTTCTACATACTGCGAATAAATAAACACACATCTTTTAGTCAATATTTTATTGTATATTGTTTTAAAAGCTGTATGATATTCACTAATCTTTCAAAAGCCACATATTATGTTCTATGATTATGCTAACCATGAATACATCCAAAAAAAAGACACAACTTCTATTTTAATACACAAAAATGCGAGAATATCCTGTCAATTATGGTTATAGCATTAAAACTGATGTATTTTACATGTTTTTCATTGCAAATTTCTATCTTATATTTAAGAATTCTTGACTTTTGTGGTACTTATTTTTCTTTTTCTCATGTTTTAATGGGATTTCTTCTATTTGAAGACCTTCTTGGTAATAAACCTGATTCTGATTCACTCCTCGTATAAACAGATTCCAAAAAAAAAACCTAAAGCAAAGAGAAAAACAACGTATGAGGAGGTAATTTGTGGAGAGACGGACTGAATGTAAATGGGGGGGAAAAAGGAGTCTGAGTGATGTATAGAAAGATAGAGGCCACTTAAATCCTCGGCACAGGATGGGACTCCACCCAAGGTCCCCCTTTTTTTTTTTTTTTTAATGATGAAAGCGGTTCCGTTTTAAAGCGGCATTCATCTGCACTTCCTGTCTTTTAACAATGCACTTCCTGCTCTCAGTTTCCTGCATTAGGCTCTTTTGGTAAAGATGTGTCCCCCGTGGACGATGTGATTGATTTTTCTAAATTGAATTCCTTCAAAGCAGGCGGCGGGAGGTTTGTTAGTCTGTGGATGAACGTTGGTTGGTTGGTATTATAAGATTATTTTCTATAGCTTGATGCCTTTGTAGCCGCTTTCAGTTAATTTCATATCACATTGTAGAGCCTAAAAACATTACAAAATGAGACAAATCTGATATATAACTCATATTTAATTTAAGATTTAAGAATTTAAGGCCATTGTTAAAACTGAGAACTGCAACTGCTTCATTTGAGCTGGGTTTTAGTCCTTTTCTTGTTTGTGTGATTTTTTTTTTTTTGTTTTTGTTGTTTTAATTTCTATTTAAATTGATTGAAATCTATTTAACATGATTTAATGAATGCATGAGCTTGAACATGTAAGTATACAAGTATTTGCAGCACAATGTAACGAACACTTCAGAACTTGCCTTAAAATTTTCCCGTTTTAACATTTCTTTACTATCAAAGTAATTCAGTGACAGTTGTCTGTACTTATAATGGTACACAGCAACATTTAACTGTTAATGGTTAATTCGGCACACGTAAAATTCTTAGTCTAAATCGCTGTATCCCTGGCAACATTATACTTCCTGTTTCTCATATTGATTTGTCCACATGTATCTGCAACACACAAAGAAGTCATTAAATATCAAAATGGAACACAGTCTTTGGTCTGTTTATGTTTCCTATTTTTGACTATTTAATTTTCCCGATTATGGATTCTTTTGTTAAAATATATAAAAGAACAAATGATGCACAGATTGAAACAAAACAGAAACAAAGTCAGGTAAGGAAGGAGATCTATAAAAATTGTTTGCCTGTGAAGACGAGTTTTAAGGAGACACAAAAGATTCAGTAAATCTTGGGGAAGAGAGAGTATGAATTAAGGACAGAAGTGTAGACGTGACATAAAAACTTTCTTTAATTAAAGTTTTAATCTTACTCTGTATTATTCTGGGATTTATCAGTGAAGTTCTTCAGAGTTAATAGTATGTTAACCTGCTCGTGGGTCACATCGCTCTCTCTTCCATCAGCTCAGTGTTGTTGACTTTGATAAACAACCTTTTACAGACAGAAAATGTAAACACTAATGTGCTAACACTGCAAAAAAAAGTCTTGTTTCTGGGAAATTAGTCGTATTTCTGTCCAAA